AAGGAAACATTAATGAGTGCTCCATGTTGTACTTATACATATAATTTTCAATATTATTCTATCTGTATACATATGTGGATATATATAATATACGAGATGCGGATTAAATGAATATTATTATTACATTAATTTAATACATATTTCTTGTTACTAATTACTCGTATTGCTATACACACACGCACGCACGCACGCACAAAGTGTCCCATTTTATTTTAATTTAAAAATCACAAGGTTGCAGAAAAAATGTTTTCAAATTGTAAAGTTTCGAAGCAGTTACATGATTATGATGTTGATTTATTCAACGTCAACAACATTGTCGAAATTTTATTCGTTGCCATTTTTAAATAATATATATTTCTCATTACTCATAATATGACTCCTTCAGTTATTCTGGATATAAATGTATTAAAATCGAAGTATCAATAGTGAAATATTTACGGAATTATTTTATATTTTGACATAAAATATTAATACTATTTGCAGAAATCAAATCAAAGATCAGAAATGATTGAGGAAATCCGTTTAATAAAATTAATAAAAATAAGTTTGTAAGAAGCCATTACATAACAATTAATCGAACATATCAGTATACGATTATATCAACATAAAATTTAATAAAGATATAAATTATAAATAAAGTTAAAATGGTAACAAATTGTGTAGTTAGATATAAGAGTAAAACGGGTAGCACATATAATTCCTTATTAGACGATGAGAAACGGATTGAGTCAAGAATAAGAACCGAAATTGTCCACAGATAAGCAGTCAGGAATTAAAATCCAATGTATAGTTGTAATTGTCAAAGCTAAAAGATAATCTATAGTGAAAGGAATTAATTTTATTTGCTGTAAATGAAAATATACCCTGAATAAGTTGTCATAAAAATAAAAATTAATAAAAACTTTCTGCTAATTTTATTAAATGGATTTTTATATTCTTTGCATGGTCTTTGATTTGATGCCTATGACTAATATTGCTTTCTTCTTCACATTAATTTTATTATTCTTTAATTTAAAGATGTCTATACATTACATTATATTAATTTCGATGCGTTCATAGATCATGTCATTAATAATTTTCTAACACTAAAGAAGATTAAGCAAGTTAAAATATATAGTACTTCAGAACATGTAATCTTAATTAATTAAATATATTCGTCGTTTATTTTACATCTGGCTATTCCTCGTTTGCTTTCTCTACTTATATTAAACTATTTTTAACTATTTTAAACTATTTTTTGTAATAAAAAATATATTATTCTATTTAAAAAGTGGCAATCATAAAAAGATTTCGATAGTGGTTCCATCTATGAATTGATCAATATTATAATCATGTGGCCTCCTCGAAACTTTTAGACGAAATTTCTTTTTACAATTTTATGATTTGTGATGATGTGTGTGCGCGCAGGGTGATTTTAATGAATATTCCAACCTTTTATCATAGGAGTTATCAACTGTAAGCCATTTTCAGTTCATGATAATAATTGCTTGGATTGAATATATATTACAAATATACTTAAAATTGTATAATATAATGAAAAATTAAAAATAATAACATACTTCCACATACTTGTCATTCCACTTTTGACACTGTTATATACTTATGACACTGTTGTATTATTTTTCATTTTTTATTATATTTATATTTATATAAAAATATTGTACAAAATATTTTTCTTATAGACAAATATAATTATGCAATTTTTCCATAAGAAGTATATTTGTAAAATACATATATTCGATCTAAGCAGTTATCATTATGTATTGAAAATGGAT